ATCTTCCCCTTTCTTGCACTTGGTATGGGTGTTTGTGTAAATGAAGACAACAGAAACTATAGTATATGTTATATATAGCTGCCTTCATTTCTTCTCTAAACCAACTTAAAAAAAACTCCAACATGGCCTAGTTCTATAATTATGGGGTTGTGCCAGCTGATTTGGCTTACATCAAAACACCATATATTACCATATATTACTGGTTTGGACTTTTATTTTGCTTTAACATTATAAATGTGATCACATCATGATCATTTGTATCTAAACTACTGTTAACTTTTAGTTCTCTGTTCCATTCTTCTTGATCTGTTAGGACATAGCCTAAGATAGAATCCTCCCTGTCAGCCACAACACTTACTAAATTAGGAGACTGTCATTTGTAATGACTGGAAATGCTAAAGATGTTTAGGTTCTGGCATCATCAAACCTCCAGAATATGTAACTCAACTCCAAGTTCCCCATGATCACATAGGGCTGTTTCCCCTACTCATTATAGACAAGTACATAAAGGATATTGTCATCCTGTGCCCTAGTGTGATTTGGTAGTCTGCAGCCGACCCCAGCTAATACCTCATCTTGTGTTGAGATGCTGATCTATAAGCATTCAAGACCATTTTCTTTTGAGTTATCAGTGAGCCAGAAACAGGTAATGCCATTTTTGATGCAGCACACCACTCCCCTTCTCCTTTTCCTCATTTGATTTTTTCTAACTGTTAAAATGATTTTAGGTTATGCTTTTAACATTCCAATAACCTAAATAAATCCACCAGGTTTCCTTAATACCATCTAGCTCCAGTTTATGCTCATAAATGAACAATTCCAATTCCTTTTGTTTATTATGTGGGCTTTTATATTGGTGTATAGGTAATCCAAGATTTCCTTCCCTTCATATTAATTGGCTTCTTGATTAATTTTGTTTTCAGCATGTCAATGTTGTGCTAACTGAATGCTTGTATCATACCTCTTTTTGCCCTCCTCAATTTACTCTTAATGGTAAGATGGGGACAGTACATCTGACAAGTGTTCTCGCTGGTAGAGTAACTGGTTCATCCATCACTGCTCTTTAAAGACTCTGTGGTTGTAATTTGCAATGTTTGGAGATCAGTACTTGGAAAGCTCCTCAGCACTCGGGTCTCCATTGTGCAGTGACAGAGGCAGATTGTCAGCTGCAGTTCATTGAAGTCAATGGAGCTATGACAATTTACAGCATCTGAGGATTTGCCCCCTCAGGCTACTGTGGGAAGATTGCAGGGGAAGCCTTCAAAGAACAGAGACATTGCAATTTGGCCATTGGCCTACCTTCACTCCTTCCTATAACATGAAGATCATGAACAGCCCTCAAAACCAGTGAGACAGTTGTGAGTTCAGGGTTATATGCAAGGGAACCTTTAAGCTCTTGCAGCTGCAAATCTAACTTTTCTGGTTGGTGCTCTCTCTATGCTTTGCACTGCTCTAGAGTACTCAGGGGCATACACAGGAATTTAAATGTAACACCATTACTCTGTGAGCCCACTGTGGCCTCAGAGCTGGAGGAGTTCACTCTCCCCATCACAGATCCTGGGCCGAAGCAGCAGTCAGTTCCTTCTGAGGCCTTTAAGACCGGCAGAGTTCCCTGTTCCTGCTGCATACCCCAGGGTTGAAGGAGCTTTCTGCTCCCACTATGGCCCTATGGCTGGACGAGCTTGCTGTCCCTGCCCTAGCCTCAGCACTGCAGGGGCTCTCTTTACCCTTATGCATGCCCCAAGTCTATTGGTGAATATGGGCTTAAAAGCTGAGATTTTAAAAAATGGGTTAAGGTTGATGATAAATATCTTCATATCAGCAAAAATATTGCACCATCTTTGGGTTTCTCATTTAGTGTTTATATATACATTTTTAATTAATAGAACAAACAGACAAAAAGGAAAATGTCTAGACCCAAAAGTGCATTAAAATGGAGTTAAGGTTGAGAGTACTTATAAGAAACTTAAGGGTAAAAGAACATTATAGGGTTGTTGTATTTATATCAGAACCATATAATGCAAGCCTAAGAACTTCAGAATTGGGGGTTATAGTTAAAGGAAATCCACACATTTTACAGTAATGAAATATACCATTCAGGCATCTCAATAACCTTGACTCTGCCCTGTAGTAAAACTACAAGGCTTTGTCTACACTGTGAGTATTTGTGGCAGAAAATATGCTAATGAGGGACTCATTAGCATAAGTCACGATCTCAATAGCATATTTTCAAGGTTTTTTTTAGCAAAAAGAAGCAGTGTAGCCGCTTCCATTATGTGAAAAAACCTAATTGGGTTTTTTTGCGCAAAACGGAATTCACTACACTGCTTCTTTTCGTGCAAAAACCCCTTGCACAAAAAGGAATGGCAGAAAATATGCTAATGAGATTGCGACTTATGCTAATGAGCCCATCATTAGCATACTTTCTGCCGCAAAAATTCACAGTGGAAACGTAGCCCAAAGGAAAAGGAATTCCTAATATCTTTGAAAACCAGTGTATTCTAATATGTGACCACACATATTAAAATACCAGTATAAGAGAAAGTGGAGGTACAAGATAGTACTAACTAAGCTTTACAAATTTTGAGGTAGGTAAGAGATTACCCCCCACTGAAATGCAGCCAGTTTAGGGAGTAAAGAAATATATTGGACCTCAGCTATGTCTATACTGCAGACTTCTTGCACAAGAACTTTTTGAGCAAGAGTGCATCCCCACTGCCATGTGCTTTTGTGCAAGAGATGTGCTTTTGCACAAGAGCGTCCATGGCAGTGTGGATGTTCTCTTGCGCAAGACATCTCTGATGGCTATGTTAGCCATAGGGGTTTCTGTTGCCTGTCCACACATGCCTTTTTGCGCAAGACCTCTTGACACGAAAAGGCTTATTTCCTGTAGAAAGAGGAATAACTCTTGCACAAAAAGCCCTATGTTCTTAAGATTTACTATACTTTTTCTTGTGCAAGAATGTTCTTGTAGTGTGGATGCTCCGCAAGTTTTTGTGCAAAAACTTTGCAGTGTAGACATAGCCCCAGGAGTGCATCCCCACTGCCATGTGCTTTTGTGCAAGAGATGTGCTTTTGCACAAGAGCGTCCATGGCAGTGTGGATGTTCTCTTGCGCAAGACATCTCTGATGGCTATGTTAGCCATAGGGGTTTCTGTTGCCTGTCCACACATGCCTTTTTGCGCAAGACCTCTTGACACGAAAAGGCTTATTTCCTGTAGAAAGAGGAATAACTCTTGCACAAAAAGCCCTATGTTCTTAAGATTTACTATACTTTTTCTTGTGCAAGAATGTTCTTGTAGTGTGGATGCTCCGCAAGTTTTTGTGCAAAAACTTTGCAGTGTAGACATAGCCCCAGTTGGAATTGTAGAGTAAATCTAAATAGGCAGACATCAATTACCTGAATTCAAATTTGGCAAAGGCACCCCCAATCTTACAAACATGTCTTTTTTACATCTCTGATGGCTATGTTAGCCATAGGGGTTTCTGTTGCCTGTCCACACATGCCTTTTTGCGCAAGACCTCTTGACACGAAAAGGCTTATTTCCTGTAGAAAGAGGAATAACTCTTGCACAAAAAGCCCTATGTTCTTAAGATTTACTATACTTTTTCTTGTGCAAGAATGTTCTTGTAGTGTGGATGCTCCGCAAGTTTTTGTGCAAAAACTTTGCAGTGTAGACATAGCCCCAGTTGGAATTGTAGAGTAAATCTAAATAGGCAGACATCAATTACCTGAATTCAAATTTGGCAAAGGCACCCCCAATCTTACAAACATGTCTTTTTTAAGAGATTTGTTTATAAAAATAATGTTCTATACTTTACAACAGCTAAAGAATTCTCCCTCAGACTGGATTACAACTTGATTTTCTCAAGGTTTAAATGTCACAAAAATTAATTCATTGTATGAAACAATTCCATTTAAAAACTGTATCGGGGGTAACCATGTTAGTCTGAATCTGCAAAAGTGACAAGGAGTCCTGTGGCACCTTAGGGTATGTCTACACTACCCCGCTAGTTGTTGGAGCATGAGCTTTCGTAGGCAAATACCCACTTTGTCAGATGCAAGACATGCTCATGCGTATTTAAAAACCTGTTTTCCACGGACAGTTTTAAAAAGACAGTGGCCTTAATGAAAGAAGAACTTTATTACTCTTGTAGCATCAACAGGCAGTATTATCAGAGTCTGGGGTAATAATATAAAAATATGTTATAATTATTTAGAGCTTATTTTAGTTTTCTAATAACATATTTGATTCCTGAAGTAATATATCCTGAACCACAGAGAACACTATGAGTACCGCAGTGAGAATGCTTCCCTAAATGGGAACATTGTGATCCAGGTCATCTGCTGACAGCGAATCTGAACACCCCACCACTTTGCTCTGAATAGCAAGCCATGCTCTAATTAGCATCTTATTCATGAACAGGACAAGGAAGGTCTAAAGTTAGTGTTTTAGCCTTTTCATCCTCACCTCTGTTTCTCACACTTGCTAGCTGTCCACTCAGTGTAAACATTTTGGAATATGGCACTTTTTATATTTTATTTCAACAGAAGTCTGATGTCTGATTCTGTTTTTTTCCTAGCTGAAAAACTGTGTTGAAACTGAGAAACTTTGTATAATTAAAAAGGCATTTTCTCATTCTTGCTCAACAAATGAATAAATGCTGCTCCCTACTGGAACCTTTGCAAATAAAACATGAACTATGTTGAGATAGGTTGGTAGTTTTGCTTACTAAAAAGAAGGAAGAAAAAAATGTAAGCATGTATTAAAATAATCACAGCCTGTTCCTCTAAAAAGATAGAATCAATATTGGAACAGAATTACAGTATTAAAGTTTGATGGTATTTCTGTGTTCCTAGTTTTGTTATACAAAATACTATCATTATCAGTTATTGCTTCTATTTTCAGAACATAGGAATGAGACAAGCTGGGTGAGAAAATGAAAAGGCTTAATATCATAAAATGTGCTATACAATAAACCATTTTTTTCTATGTTAGATTCCACAGAAGTCAAAGTCTGCTGTATTTGCAGACAGACAAATGGAAAGCTGTCACTAATGGACTGAATGTATATGGAGCAACAACATTTTACAATGGTCAAATAAACACATTCCAGCTGTGCTCTGGTCAAGTATGTCACAAGGGCATGTGTATATGTACATAGGAACAAAGGGCCGATATTTCTGCAAAGACCCATGAACAGAACACTGCTATAATTTCAAACTTAAAGTAATGCAACCAATTAGATGATTGCTCTTTAAAGGCTAGTAAGTCAGATCTGCCTGTAAAGACTCAGGAATTAGAGATGAACTGTCTGCCTAGTACAACTGCATCCTGGGAAACTATGGCTCTCTCTTGACTACAAAGATCAATCGGAAAAAGAAACGCAATTTGTGGTATGCAAATTGCATATTTTTTTCCAATTTACTTCCAAAAGAGGCTTTTCTGAAACTTGGCCCGTCTACACGGGGCCAAACGTTGGCGAAAACCCCTTTCAGAACATCCCTTCTTCTTTATGAAACAAGATTTATAGGGATGTCCACAAAACACGTCTGCTTTTCTGACATTTTTTTTTTCAGAAAAGGAGACGCGTTCCTTGGACATGGTAGAGCTTTTCAGGGATATCTCTGTTATCCCTGAAAAGCTCTGCAATTTTGACGTACCCCCTGCCAAAGTCTACAATAAAGGGCATATACCTTGTAGCTGTCTAACTACTTGCAGCCATTTTCTTGCCTTGGGTGACATCAGCTCTATGCCCTCCATCTTCCCTTCCTTGCATACGCTCATATCTGCTTCAGTCTGGCTTCACCTCTAGCAATCTCTGTCCCATACCTTGCCTCCCCTCTTCCTTCCTTCCCTTCTCCTGCAGTAGTGGTTTACAAATTACTTAGCTCTTTTGCACCCCACAATGTTTCCTTTATTTCTTCTTTATTTACTAAGGCACCCATCCAGTGCCCACTAATGCTGGTGGGAGCCTTTCCATGGCCTTCAGTGGGTTTTGGACCATACTCTCTGTGTCCAGGAAAGATTGTGAGTTACAAAGGCAGTGTTGTTTCATAACCCTTTTATGAAGTGCTGGAATGTTAATATTACCATTCCAGTACAATCCCAGCTGCACATTTTGTCCTGTCAGTTTCCTCAACCAGCTGAGCTGAGCAAAGCAAGATTAAAGAGTAGTCAGTGAGAGGAAATGGAAGAAAGTCTAGCTGCTCTTTCCAGCGTGGTGGTAAGTGGCTGGTGATTGCTGTCCACTCCAGACCAGAGTTATGGCTCTTTTCTATGACTGAAGAAGCCATTGGTTCATCTGAGGCTGTTTGGAAAGGCTAGCTTGGAGGTTAGGTCCCATTGTTACATTAAGTTCTCTTTCAGTGGAGACAGAGTCTGAGAAACAAACAAACATAAATCCAGGCAGGTGTGTCTAGACTACAGGGTTTTGTTGACAAAAGTGGACTTTTGCCAACAAAACTATACCTGCGTCTACACTACCACTGAGTTCTGTCGCCAGTAAGTCAACAGAATGCGGCAGTTTTGTCGACGGCAGTAAACCTCATTCTACAAGAAATAATGCCTTTTGTCGACAGAGCTCTGTCGACAAAAGGCGCTATTGAATCCTCACTGTGCTTTTTCAAAAGAGAGTGTCTAGACTCTCTGTCAAAAAGTGGCTTGCTTTGTCGACAGAACTGGCTGTAGTCTAGATGCTCTTTGTCGACAGAAGCTTTGTCGACAGTATTTGTCAACAAAGCCTCTGTCGACAAAAGCCTGTAGTCTAGACGTATCCAGCCTGACTAGTGTTCCTTGCTAAAATCCAAGAAACACTCAGGCCTGACCTTCAATAAGCCAGGCTCCCATTCAATGTGTAGCACAGCAGAAATCACATGAAAACAAGTGCATTGTCATGACACTACCAATGCTAATAGGGACCCCCTATCTTTCTCTTGTCTTCCATCTTCTTGTTCTCCCCTAAAATGTGGTTTACTGTGTGGCCACATTTGTTAGGCATCCACCCTTATGGTGACCCCCTTGTTGCTCACACTCTCCCCATCTAGGAATACTGGTGAAATCTGTCCACTCTCCCACTCCTTTAACTTACAACCCCAGTCTCCTACACACCATTGATCCTCTTCCATTGAGCTCAATCCCAGAAAGCTCTTAGCTTTGGAGCCACTGGGGAGCATCTATCTGCTGGCCTCCTGCTTCCCAGTCATCTTTTGACACCTTGCTCTGCTTTGTCCTCTTCTCCCAGTAAACAAACAACAACAACAACTCAAAGACATTTAAGTCCCCCTGGCATAAATGGATGAGTCAAGCCATTTTCCCAGAGAACAAAAATTTAAATTGTCCTGTGTTAATGAGTTTCATAGTTAAAATATGGCATTAATTAAGCCTATTTTCTTTTATATTCCACAGGCTCTCAGGAACAGAAAGACAATTAATGTTTTGTATGTGGTTGTGAGTTCCAGTCTCACCCTATAAGGAGATCAAAAGTTTTCTATGGCTGTTGTAGTAAGCACCACAGCCAAATTTCATTGGTTTGTTTCCATCAGAAATAACCAACATCTGCATGGTACTACCTCAGTAATGTTTTATGGCTTATATTACACAAGGACGATACATGTTTAACATTGAATTTCCTCTATGGGGAGCATTGTCTATACAATACAAAGGACTTTTGCTTCTGAAAAACTGTCTTTTTTTCTCTCCTTTCTCCTTATTCTGGGTTTTATATTGCCTGTCTTAGGGTTTTGTAGTGCTGCCCATCACAGTAGTGTCTGACAACACTTCGATTCAGTGTCTGCAATGGAACCTGTCTTAAATCACTGCTCATTAAAGGTGATAAAGGTGGAAAAGAACTGATCTCAATATAAATTAGGGACAGACTCATAGCAAAAAAGGAAATTGCTGCTAGATTTCACTATCTATGGAAATGTCAAGAAACAAAATGTCACCATGGATTTGTTCCTCAGTAAGAACAAGTCTTTGTGATAGTTTCTGCAGCTTCAGAATAACAATTTTTACTGAGTGAAGGCTGCTGTCTTTGGGCTTCATTAAGAGTTAAAGGCTATGTTACGTGTACATCCAGAATGATTCCTCTACAGCTGAGTTAATTATAGGTAGGCTCAGAACTGAGTCTAAATCTGCTAGCTAGCAGTAGGTCTTTACTGAGAAAATTTGGACACGTGGCCTTTGTCTACGCTAGATCTCTATTTAGAAATAAGTTCCCTTAGGTCGAATTTATAAATGGAGTGCCTGTTTTTCCCAGGGAATAATGCTAATTTTGAAATAGTTATTTTGAAATAGCATTTGTGTTAATGCTCTGATGCTGCTATTTTGAAATAGCTACTCCCCAGAGTAATTCAAATTAATTACTCCTTCATGCTTCCTGGGGCTCTAAGTCAAGGTAGCACGTCCGCATTAATGGAGCCTGCCTCAGACTAATTTTGAGGCTTCAAAGACATGCTTTTTTGATTTTGTAAAATTGGGAGTTATTAAGTCAAATTTAATTATTTCAAAATAGTTTCCTAGCATAGACATGGCCTTAGAAAGAGCTGTGAGAGGAAACAACCAAAATAATTAGTGGGCTGGAGCGACTCAATTCTGGGGAAAACAACGGCTGGGAGAACAGAGGTACCTCTACAAATATCTGAAAGATGTAGACAAGAAGGAAGGAGTAGAACTATTTCATTTAATTCATGGTTATCAGACGAGGAATAAAGAGATGTAGTTAAGATAAAGAAATACAGTCTGGGCATTAACTCCCTGGCACTGGGCAGTAAGATATAATAGCCATTGGAAGCCTCATTGCCTGAGCCCTTTAAAGCTAGATTGGATACAACACTAAAAGAAGTACTGAAGGGAACTATTCTTTATTTTCAAGGAGATACACTGGATGATTTAGTATATTTGCTCCAGTACTAGTTCCTACAATTCTGTTTTGCATTAGATAAAATAAATGACAGGGTTGAGGAATATATGAGCACATTTGTGCATCATACAACAATAAATTATAACTTGCATGCTTCAAATTAACACAATTGTAGGGAACGTCACAAAGCTGTGAACCTTAAACTGTTCATACTGGGGATGTTTTGCCACATTACTTTGTACATTTTTCTGCTTTCCCTGTTGCTTTCCTTTCACCTCTGAGATTACTGCTTTCTTAATATCAGAGGCGGTGACTTCCTTTATAAAAACATCAAAACATTATTTTAATTCATTCTCAGCAGTCAGGCTATGTCTAGACTTCAGGCTTCTTTCAGAAGAAGCTTTTATGGAAGAGATCTTCCGAAACAACTTCTTTTGAAAGAGAGCATCCACACACAAAAGCACATCGAAAAAGCGATCTGCTTTTTTGAAAGATAGCAACCATACTGAATGGACACTATCTCGCATTTAAGCTGTGATTACTGTGGATGGGGTGGCCACTAGAGCACCTGTGCTTTTTCCTCTTTCCTCTTCTTTTGAAATAACTCCCTCTTTTCAGTCCACACATGGCTTTTTCTGAAAGAGCTCTTTCGGAAAAAGGCTTCTTCCTCGTAGAAAGAGGATTACCAATGCTGGAAAAACTCTTCTGTTCTTTCGATTTAGTTTTGGAAGAATGCAATGGCAATGTGGATATAACTCAGGTTTTGTCGGAAAAATAGCCATTTTTCCGACAAAACTCTGTAGTGTAGACATACCCTTCAGAGTTTTAGACTGCAATTTTGCTTACATGATACTGCAAAAAACTGAACACTGTGAGTCTTAACCTTCCATGGAGATTTAGTGACCTGTGGTCATGTCACCTCTAGTCACTAACTTCTCAGCACTTTTCAACTGTGGATGGTCTGGTGCGCCATTGGATGGGACACATCCACAGAAATCTTAGTGTGAGCTGAACATGAGGTTTACAAATCAATAGGTGACACTTCCCTCTTACTACTTTGTCTATAGAGGAAAGCTGCACCCTCCTCCCCTCATATGGACATGCTTACAAAACTGTTTTTTGGTTTAGCTTAAACCACTTCCCAATTCACAAACTAAAGTGAAAAACAGCATTCTTACACTGGAAGAGGAGTTTAAACTGGATAGGGGAGCTACATACTAACCATAGATACATCTACCCTGCAGCTGGAGATATGCTTTCCAGCCAGGGTACAAACACATGCACTAGTTTTGAGTGAGCTAGCATGCTAATCAGAGTAGGGTGACCATACTTCACTATGCTGAATATGGGACATCTAGTAAAATTGCCTGGATTCAACAGATTCAAGGGAGTTGAATGGCAATCAACCAGAACTATGCAGCACAAACATTCAAAATAGCATTAAGCTGACTGAGCACCATTTAAAAAGAAATACTGCATTATTATAAATGAATAATAGGTAAAGATTAAAAGTACATACTGACAATTAAGTGATTACTGCTCTTTAGAAGTGCCTGCCTTGTCCTCCTCTTGCTTCCTCCACAGTTTGATACTTCTTGTGGACTCTGTCACGTAAAACAATTTTTTGAAGGATCTGCTTGATTTTCATCAACTTGTCATAAAACATAACATGGTCTAGGTCAAAATTCACTAGCACAAACAAAATAGCTTTCATGGTATAAACACTGAAATGTGATTTTTTTCAGATGATCAGACTGCATTCATTATTGAAAAGACATGTTCAACAGGCAAACATAAACTCAACTGCCTTTGCCCAGATCTGAGTATTATGCTGCCTTATTACCCATCTCTTGAATAATGTCCCATCGTCTTTCAGAAATGGGTGTTCTCTGAGTGTTCCAGTCATACATGTGACAGAATATTATTGGTTATGCATGTGTCCAGTCGTCAAAAAGATGATTCTCATCTACAAACTTAATGGGAGGAATTCTTGTGTGGCAAAGGCAAGAGTACTTTATATATTTTCCCACAGTGGCATGCTTCTCAACAGAGCCCACTCAACCTTTTTTCTGTTCACTCAAAGGCAGGTTTCCAGTGCTCCAAGTATTTCAGAGATGTTTAATAAAAATTCTCAACTGCATTGTAAAATTCCTGTTCTTTAGTTTCTCCACCCTCAATCAAAGACTGCAGCAGGGTCTTTGTGAGTGATGTGATAAATCATTCTCTGAACCTCTCTGCTAAATTATTTTGAATAATTTGAATATGCAGTTCAACATCTGTCACTGATTAATCATTTTTCTTTATTGCCTCTACTGGCTTCAGAAATGTGGCTCTTTGCTTACTAGCAAAAGCAAGGAATAGTTTTGTGCAAGGGTCATAGAAGACTTTCTTGAACAGTGTTGGGCATGTGTCTTGAGAGAGAAAATATGCCTTTTGCCAGTCATAAATCAACAAAATTCTGTCTAGCACAGGTCCAAGAGAAAGGAATCATGCGCTGCCTTGCTCTAGCAATTTAAAATACTCAAGATCAACAAATCAGCAAAAAGTCTTTCAATTCTTTGACACAAACAAAGTAAATGTGAGAGCATTTATAAACTTTCATGGCAAAAGATTCCAAATCAGTTTGAAATCAGTTTTCCAAATCAGTTGTCAGCTTCTGTCTGCAGGCAATTATGAACTATGTGAGCACCGCAACCAAACCAAAGTTCTCGTCCTGCAGTGTGACTTGCAGTTTTCATTATACATTGTTTTTCCGAGAACATTTAGCAGCACCGATAATTGTAGTGGCACTGTCTACACAAAGTCCAACAAGCTTTTCAGTCAGAGAATGCTTCACAATCAATTGATATGTAAATTCACACTGCATATTAGAAGTTTCACATGGCAGAGAAGAAAACTCAATAATTTTTGCGTTTACCCCATTAGAGGGAGCAGCTAGGAGCTGTGTGTGGCTAAGAGTTAGCTCAGGGGTTGTGTACAGACATGAGGATATCTCACGGTCCAGAGAAGGGGTATCTAGAGGCTGTATGCAAGGAGAGCTTTGTGGTCCCCCTGTTTCCTGAAGGCTCTGCCAGCCGTGGAACTGGGCCCCTTACCCATACAGCTCTTAGGGGCTGTGTGAGCAAAGGGGGCTGGTTGTTGAGGGGCAGTTTCAACCTCCTTCACCACCAGCAGCAGCAGAGGAGGGAGAACTGTGAAGCTCTTCCCAAGACTGCACTGTGCTTGCTAGAGAGCCCACAACTCTGTCTCTGGGCTCTGGAGGCTTTTCACTCACAGGGAGCACTGGGTAAGCAGGACTCAGACCTGCTGCTCCCAGCTTCAACCCCACCACTCATGGCTTGGAGAGTGGGAGGGGGCAGGGATTGAGGCTTCAGCAGTGTGTGTGTTGGGGATTCAGAGGGCACCCCCAGCTGCAGTGTAGACATACCCTTAAATGGATACATTCACACCTTAGGCAATACAGAAAAAAACCTTTCCTATCTGGACAAGACCTAAGTCAGTACTGAATCAATGGCATGCTAGGAAATTAGGTGGCAAAACTGTGATGGGCGATGCCATTCTATTTATTGTTACCTGCCCTTGGAATCAGCCAAGGAATGAGTCCAAAGGGTGAACTGGAGCATCACTGAGACTTGTTTATTTGTACAGGTTCACATTGGTATGGCAATACTCACACACATATCATATTCACGCCGTACAGGTTCAAATTGGTATGGCAATACTCACACACACATCATATTCACACTGACAGTTTGGAGGCAGGCTGCAAGTGCGGTGAG